GGGGGGGGTGGGGGGGGGGGGGGGGGGGGGGTGGGGGGGGGGGGGGGGGGGGGGGGGGGGCACTGAGGTTATACTGCAGGAGTGCAGAGGTGGGCAGCCAAGGTGGCCTGGGCAGGGCCCTCAGCCGCCCCTGAAGGGTTATGCTTCCTTTGCAGCTCCTTCCGCTTCCAGCAGTTTGAGTCCTATGACTCCAGGCCTTGCCTACCTGAACACAACCCCTACCGCTCCAGCTACAGCTATGACTATGACTTTGATCTTGGGTCCAACCGCAATGGCGGCTTTGGTGGGCAGTACAATGACTGCAGGGACCCGGCCCGTGAGCGGAGCTCCCTGGATGGTTTTGTGCGGGGCCGGAGCCAAGGCCGCTTCCAGGATCGGAGCAACCCCAGCACCTTTATACGCAGCGACCCCTTCTTGCCACCCCCGGTCTCCTCTGAGCCTCTGTCCACTCCCTGGAATGAGCTGAACTACATGGGTGGGCGGGGCCTGAGCGGCCCCTCCCCCAGCAGGCCACCACCTTCCGTCTTCCCCCAGTCCATGCATGCCCCTGACTATGGTGTGATGGGCATGCAGGGGGCAGGTGGCTATGACAACGCCATGCCTTATGGATGTGGCCGGTCACAGACCCGGATGCGGGACTGGGTAAGCCCTTACAAAGTTTCATCAGGCTACCTTTGCTTTTCTTTTTAGCAGTTTTACTTAGGTAGAATTTACATGCCTGAAGATCCACTCATTTTTAAGTGTATGACTTACAGAACTGTGCAGCTGTCACCACAATCTCATTTTAGAACATTTCCATCAACCCAAAAGAAACCCCATCTCTGGTAGCAGTCACTCCCTGTTTTCTCCCCAACCTACTGACAACCACTAATCTGGTTTCTATCTCTACAATTTGCCTATTCTGGACATTTCATACAAGTGGAATCATACACTTTATGGCTTTTGTGTCTGCCTGATTTCACTCAGCATAGTATTTTCTTTGAGATTCAACTACATTGTCTCTCTTTGCTTTTTGGAAAGACCTTGTCTATTTGTTCTCTGGTCTTACAACTTCCCCTTTCCTCATTTCTGTGGGGTGTCTTAACGGTCCAGGTAAGTGGTACATAGGATGTGCTTGTGTCCATAGCCCAGGAGGAGAGGGTTTGACCGCTTCGGACCAGACAGCATGGGCAGGAAGCGGAAGCTGTTTCAAATGTATGAGGAACCGGACGCCAAAGTGGCCCGGGCTGAGAGCGAAGGAGATTTTTCTGACAACGGTACGCCCTGGCCCTGTCCGTACAGTGGACACACAGGAACTTGAGGGTGGCGTGTTTCACCCACGTGCCCCCGACCCTCACGGTGGTCAGGACAGTCACTCTGGACAGTGATCTTGGGAGGGTGAAAACAGGAACTGGGGCCACCTGCCCAAAGGCTGGCTTTTCCTATTTTTTTGTGTCTGGCAGATGACGGAGCTGGTGACTTCCGGTCAGGAGATGAAGAATTCAGAGGTGTAAGTCCATCTTTATAGGTCGGTTTGTAGTGTGCAGTTTCTTCCTTTATCGTTCTCCCTCCCTAAGAGGCAGGAATAGCTGCCTTGGCAGACTCAGTTTTATCTCTAAGGGGATTTAGTACCCTGACTTGCTAGGTTTCTAAGAGTTTTCTGCCTGCAACAATCACTTTCTTCCTGATAAAGCCCCCAGCTGCTTCTGTGTACCCATAGTGATGGGGCTACCTGCCAGCATGGTGAGCGCAGCAGACTGAGGCTGGCAAGTAATACGCTGGAGGCTCATTTGCTGCCAGCTCTGTGCTGGGTGCTGCCGACCCATGTCTGCACCCTTCAATTCTCACATGAGTCACAGGAGAGCAACAGCTATGGCCAGTTCTCAGCCAGAATTGCAGCAAACACCCAGGGAGATTCTGATCCAGGTGGGGGGTGGGGCCTGGAGATCCCAGTGTGGGAAGGCTTCCTCTGATGGTCACGGAGGGCCAGATACAGCATATGTTTAGCTTTCCTGAGAGCCTCGCTTGCTGTTTGGCATGCCTAGGTCTTGGGTCTGGGCATCTCTGCAAATCTGCTGATTGCTAATTTAATCTTAGGCTCTCTGTCTAAGGATCAGCTCTTTTCACATATTCTGTTAGATGAATTGTTTTTATCTATATCTGGTTTGTTGAAACATTGGATAAATATATAAAGAAATGCTCAGGAAACTTGGTGAAGCCCATTTACAATAATGAACACTGGAACTAGCATCCCGTAGATTGGAGTTTGTTAACTTATGGTTGGTGGATGGTTTTCTTGGTGTTCCCATGTGTAGAATTGTGCAGATGTGCATTTGCCAGGGGGAAGGCAGTTCTGTAGCTTCAGAAAGCACTGAAAGAGGGTCAGCAACTTAAAAAAGTATCACAGAATTTGTGAAGGCAACTAGTAGTAGTAATAGGACACACTCATCCTCCATCCAAGGCCCTGAGGCTTGTCCTGACACCCTGTGACTTGTTTCCTGGTGGCTGGCACAATGACCTAGGTCTAGGGTGTGACCACCCACAAAGTGGTGGCTGGGAGCTGGGCTGGTTATGGAGAATTCTGGAAACAACACCTCACTGTCTGACTTTATGTGCTCTTTTTCAGGAGGATGAATTCTGCGACTCTGGGAGGCAGAGAGGTAGGCGTCAGCCAGTGTGCTTTGCAACTCTCTTGTGTCTGGCTGGCTGTCCTGCACTCACTTCCCAGCTTCCAGCAGGCTGGGCTTTTGAGCAAGCTGGGGGCCCACATGGAGGGGCTGTGGCTGCCAGGTGGGCCTCGGCTATGGCAGTCACCCAAAGTTTTGCTTCCAAGTAACCGGGGCAGCATTTGCTAGAAACGGGTCTGTCTTTCTCACTCGATGCAGGTGCAGAGAGAGGAGAAGCCAGTCTCTGGGTGTCTGCAACAGTTCATGGTGCTAGGGAAGGGAGAGTCTCAGAAACAAAAGAGAGAAGCCTCCATGGCCAATACGGGTCCCATACTATTCTCTCCTGGGTTTCGTTCCGTCCAGTTTTCTCAGTTGACAACCCAGGGCTGTTCTGTCAGCCTCTATGGTAGAGATTCTGGGGGCTGCAGCACACGTCGCTGTGTGCCTGAGAGTGTGAAACAGAGAGCCAACATCTGCGGGGGTTGGGAGCATAGGGGTGGGGCCTGTCAGGTGCACCCAGGCCCAGATTCTCAAGAAACAGTCATTGCTCAGGAGGTCTCATCAGTTCCAAAGCTAGAGACCTAAGAGTCCAAAGTAAGCAGCAAGGGCAGATCAAGGTTAGACCCCTTGGAGGGACATGGACAAGCAGCCTAAGATGTAATACCCTTGAGCTTGCCCAAAAGCCACTTGTTTTTTTCCCTGTTCCCATGAGTCTGTCCATAGCTGGTTACCCAGGGATTGCAGGCTGGCTCCTTCGTAGCTCTTCTGTAAATTTGGAAGGCGCTCTTGGCTTAGATGCTCCTTTCCTTCTGTTTTCTAGCTTAGCTGACCCTCTGAGGTCCTCCCAGCCCATGTATGAAGCATCCTTGTCCATAGTGTGGGACCACAGCGAGCACTAGCAGCTCAGGCAGTGGGGTAAATGCTAAAGCAAAGGTGACATGTTTATTGCGCGCAGGTCCTGCTACCTACCCGGGATGACTTTGCTATTAAACAGCAGTCATAGTGTCAGGCAGTGACCTCTTGCCAAAAATCCCACACGCCCTTTTGAGAGGCTTCTGAGCAGCGCACGCCGGTCTCCATCATCGTGGGACAGTCTCGGGACTGGCATCAGGGGTAGGGGTTACAGTTCAGATGCTTATCCAACCTTTTTCAGCGTCCAGCCCTGGCCCTGGGTCTCAGGGACTCAGCCTGGCCTCATGCTGGGATGCCCAGCCACACAGCTCTTCTAGGAGCTCCTGTGCTAGCCCCAGGGGATGGACGGGAGGACCAATTGGTCTCTTCCCATTTTTGTTTCTAGGATTGCTTCCCATGTAGCCCTGGGAAAGCCCTAGATTGATGGTTTTTGTGAGTGGAAGATAGAGGTCGGGCCAGCAAGGACTGTCAGACCTGCTGAGGCCCTAGTTCAGATGAGGCTGACAGGACAGTTGCCATGGCCCACCTAGAGGTGGGACGGAGGGTGGTGGAGAGGCTTGCTCCTTTTCCTGAGGCTTTCCAGCTGCTGCCTCTGTATCTGGGGAGACTCTCTTCTCTCTCAAGTGACATTGGGAGAAGATGATAGGGCGCTAGATTGGAAAAGCAGGATGGGAAAGACAGCAGGGGAAGAGGGCATGGTGCAAGTGGGATGGGCAGGCCACATCCCTGGCCAATCCCAGCCTTATCAGGGTAGAGGGGAGTGACTCCTGGGTTCTCACCAGAGGCCCATGTCCATCGGGAGCCTTTGATGGTGTGGTGGAGGCAGCAGCAGGCCCTGGGGGTGGCAGCCAAACTGAGCTGCAGCCCCCAACAAGGCCCTGGAGCCCAGCTCCTCTGCAGGCTCCTCAGAGCATCTCGAAGGGCCTCCTCTGTTACAGGAGAGAAGGACGACGAGGACGAAGAAATGAAGAAGAAAAGAGAAAAGCAAAGGAGGAGGGATAGGATGCGGGACCGGGCAGCAGACAGGTGAGGAGCAGGCAAGGTCGGGGGTCAGGGCGGACAGAGGCAAGGGGTGGACCAGAGCGCCCACTGAAGGTGGCTGCACCTGGGCCCTCACCTGTCCTTACTCCACAACGCAGGTTTGGTCTGACTCCCAAGTGTCTGTCAGGAAATCTTAAGTCAGTGGGAGACAAAATTTGAGAAATGATTTGGGAGTGCAGAAAAGACCAGTGAAGTAAGGTTTTTTTTGGAGGATCAGTGTCTGTCTCTTGCCTCTCTGGTTCCTCTGGAATCATGACACCGTGTGGCCCATCCATGCCCAGCAGGGGGCTCTCTTGCCCTCTAGCAGGCCTGAGGGGGTGTTCGTTGTTCCTTGGCATGTCTGGTGTCCCGTACAAGTGACCTTCATTTAGCAGAACTGCTGAAAGTGCTTCAGGTACCTTGTTCAAATCCAGACCACCCGTGGCATTAGATACAGCAAGTATATATGAGTACCATCAAGATTTTGTCTCAAAATAGAAAAAAAAAAAAAATGCCAATCCCAAAGGGTGTTGGCATGACCACACCATATATCTGCCTCTCCATGTTCAGTGATGAAGGGACTTCTAACTAGAAACTGAAACCACCAGTGGCCTTGTGAGTGCCTTGACTACATACAGCTACTTCACTATGAGTTGATGGGAAATCTTACACCTTAAGTTTCAAATGGGACAGTGATTTTCCTCTGCAAAGAAATGAATGCTGGGCTGGCCGGTTAGCTCACTTGGTTAAAGCATGGTGCTGATAACACTAAGGTCAAGGGTTGGGTACCCTTACCAGCCAACCTTATTTTTTAAAAGAGAAAGAAAGAAATGCCTAGCTGAATACCTAACAGTAAACAGTATAAGCTGGGAAGCCTGGAACCAAAATGCAGAACTGTTTCTTAAGTGGCACAGAAACTAACTGAAACCATGTTTTTAAACAGATAGATGATGGATAGTTCTATTTTCAGGCCACTTGGAAACTGGCATATTTCTTTTTTAAGGAATCTTTGGGTTTTTTAAATTTTTTAATTTTCTTGGCAGCTGGTCACTATGAGGATCCAAGTAAAGGGATCTTTAGACTCTGCACTTGTGACCAAGGATCTTGAAGGGACTTAGAGGATTTGTCAAAGGGAGGTGAAGATGTGGCAGGGAAACGTGAATTTCCCACAGCTTCCTGACAGCCCTGTGCAGGGGCCCGGGAGAGTTTCCTCTTTACTCCTCTATCAGGGGGTGTCTACCAAAGTGAAAGTGTCTTATGGTGCCTGTCAGAGATCAGAAGCCAGATGTCCTGAAGCCAGCAGAGCTCCGAGTAGGCAGAGGAGGAATTCTGAGTGCCACAAGGCCTGCACCCTCATCCTAGAAGGGCTGGAGCCTTGAGGGTAGACCCAGGGAAGGAGTACCTCACTGGGAGGGACTGGGGGCTGCAGGCTGCTCTCCCCTCACTGCACAGCCTGACTGCATTTGGTAAGACTTTGAAAGCACATGGCAAAGAAACCTCACTTTTTATCGGGGAGGTCAGACATGCCGTGAAATCCCGTGGGAGAACTGATCTTGGGTTTTGGGAGTTTTGAATTATGCGAGGTCTTCAGGAGTTTTTCCCTCACATAAAATGAGGTTGCTGTGTGTCTGCCCAGTGGCTGCAGAGAGAGACTCATCTGAGAAGCTCTGGAGTTAGATACTGGGCCCCCAGAGCAGTTGGCCAGAGCTTAGGGAGTCACAATTCTGAGAAGTCACCACATGGGGGGGTTCTCTTAGGGGCCTTTGGGCCAGAGAGACGGTGTGACAATAAGTTGCTTTGTGAATCATTTTCTTGAGATACTTGCAAGATACTTGCAAGGCTGTATCCCATTCTTCAGGCCAGGAAGTTTCGGGAACTGCTACTCTGAGAAGTCTTGGTTCAGAAATTGCCTTCCCATTTCCCTTTCATTTCTACCCAGAGATGAGCTGGTGATCCCTGCCTCACTGCTCTTCTTGCTGCCCTTTTCCAGGATTCAGTTTGCATGTTCTGTGTGCAAGTTCCGTAGCTTTGAAGATGAAGAAATCCAGAAGCATCTGCAAAGCAAATTTCACAAAGACACGCTGCAGTTTATAAGTACCAAACTGCCTGATAAGACGGTGGAGTTCCTCCAGGTAATGGATATTTGGCCTCCACTGTGGTGTTTGCCGATGATCCTGCAGGTGTCGGATCCCTTGCAGAGAAAAGGCATAGGGAAGGGAGATAAGAGGTCTCAACTTGGTCAAGGTTTCTTTTCCCAGAATAAAACAGCTGTATGGGTCCCTGAGTCACACAGAGATAGCCAGCCGGGGAGCTCCAGTCTTGGTGGTTCCCACCAGTTCTGCCCATGCAGCTGCTCTCATAGCCACCGTCTATGCTCAGTGTGGTTGAGAAATGTCCACACGTGATGGCCTCTTACTTCATTTTGTGCTGTCTCCCACTCTAGGAATACATTGTAAACAGGAATAAGAAAATTGAGAAGCGGCGTCATGAGTTGACAGAGAAGGAAAGCACGAAACCAAAACCAGATCCTTTCAAAGGTGAGTTTTGGTTTTAGGGCACGTGGCCTTCTGGGTGGGAGTAAGTAAAGCATGGGATGTGATCTTTAAAACTCAGTGCAAAGCCAGCGAAGGGCTGTGAGAATGTGCTATCAGGGCCAGTGGGAGGAGCACATGACAGTGGAAAGAAGCCCTCGAGTGTGCATCCTGATGGGGACCGCAGGTCCTGAGGCCTATCAAGAGTGTTGTTAAGCACTATGAAGAGAAAGGACCCGAAGGAGGGGGAGAGTTGAAGTGTAAGATTCCCAGGTGTGGAGGCTGGCTGTCCTGACCCACGTTCCTGCAGGAGGGCAGACTGCATTTGTCTCAAATTCTGTCCCAACTGAATCCTTAGAGAGTGCTGCAGGGAGATAGTGTGGGCCTTGTTGGGGAGTTGGAGGACAGCATCATTCTATTGCTGTCCTTTATCCCAGGGATTGGCCAGGAACACTTCTTCAAGAAGATCGAGGCCGCTCACTGCCTGGCCTGTGACATGCTGATCCCTGCACAGCACCATCTCCTCCAGCGGCATCTGCACTCTGTGGACCACAATCACAACCGCCGGGTGAGTCCCCGCCTGACATGTGGGTGGGGGCCTGGGATGAGGTTTCCCAGGCTGCCGACCTTCTGTGCCTTACCTGGAATGCTAACATCTTTAGGGGCCCTTGCTGTATTTCATCAAGTATGTCACTCTGTTGATAAGATTCATCTCAATTTCTATTAAATGTGAGAAAACACATTGCTTAGAATTGGTTAGATCCAGTAGCTGCAATTCTCCTGATTTGAGAATGTTTTCTGTAATCACACAGGTAAATTCCCCAGTTGCTGAGAAACTGATCTGTAAGCTGAGGCTAAGGGCCTTTCAGAGCAGAGACCTGGGGGACCTGGATTTCAGTACCTGTTTGGTTCTTACTAGCTGATGGGGCCTGAGGCTAAATGTCTGGCCCAGGGGTAAACAAATTTTTTTGTAGAGAGTCAGATCATATTTTCGGCTTTGTAGGCTCTAGGTTTTCTGTCCAGTGATACAGACAGTAAGGAATATGTGCGGCTTGCTGACCCCCCTGGTTTAGCATCTCTGTCCTTAGGTTACCCTGCTATTAAATGGAGTATCAGTAGCTACTTGCCCCTGTCACAGCACTGTTGAAGATCAGTGAAAAAGCACTGTAGAAACAAGAGATTGTTGGGTGAACATGTCAAGTTCTAAACAGTCAAATTGTTGGTTCATTCATACATCTGCCATTGAACTTACTTCTTATGAAGTCAGTATAACCTGAGAAAATGAAAAAGGAAGAAGCCTACTCTATTTCCGTACTTAGTCCCCATAGCTTCTAACCTGCAAATGCTTTTGTTTCATCCTGGCTCCTGTATGTGGTGTGTGGACACCAGTGGTGTCTTTTAAAGTTGTCAAGCTTCTCCACATTGTCTCACCATCTTAGTTCCAAAGTCTCTGTGGTGCCTTCCTTCTCTTCATTTTGGAGCCTGGCATTTTGGGATTTGTCTCTGCGTAGGGCTGACCTCAGGACAGCTGCATAGCCTGGCTAGTTCTCTGGCTCTTCTGTACCATTTTTTTTTTTTTTTGTCTTTTTTTCGTGACCGGTAAGGGGATCACAACCCTTGATGTGGTGTCACCAGCACCGCGCTCAGCCAGTGAGTGCACCAGCCAGTCCTATACAGGATCCGAACCCGTGGCGGGAGCGTCGCTGCGCTCCCAGCGCTGCACTCTCCCGAGTGCGCCACGGGGCCGGCCCTTCTGTACCATTTTTAATAGCCCACATTGGTTCCTTTGCAGTTGGCTGCTGAACAGTTCAAGAAAACAAGTCTCCATGTGGCTAAGAGTGTTTTGAACAACAGACATATAGTGAAGATGCTGGAAAAATATCTCAAGGTTTGTGCTTAGGATTCCAATGAACAGGAAAAAGAAAAGCTTTTGAAATGACAGATGAACTACGAGTGTGGAATTGTATCCAGTATTTAGTGTGTCTGAGTCTTTTGAAGAATTGAGGGACGTTGGCATGATCAGTCTTGGGAGTATGACAACTAGGGTTTGCTGTGACTCAGTGCTTGCCTGTGGCCTCTGGGGATGTGATGCTTGATGCTTCTTGGTTAATCAGTGTGCAGTGGTGTTGAGAAACCCTGATTTTCTAGCCATAAAAGATTGAGCAAATGACGGTGAGGTCCTTGTTTAAAAAAAATAAGATTATATTTGTTCAGGAAAGAAGCTAAAAAGTTTTTTTGTTGGCACAGCCAACTGACAGATTGAGGGTGGCGTGGGAAGAAGAGCCAGAGGTGCCACAGCCATTCTTAGCCTTCGTGATGGGTACAGAGTGACAAAAAGTCCGAAAGTGGGTGCTCATGGAGAGAAGTCTGGTTGGAAAAGCCCCCCATTTCCTCTGTGGGAGCCCGTTTCTCTCATCCTGTGACCTCACCATTTGGGGCTCGTAGCTAAGCTCCAGCCCATAGTCAAATTTTAGGACGTTTTTCCTCAGTTATTAAGTGCTTTGATATTTGGTAGTTCATTTCCGCTATTAAGGGCACAAATTCTAAGTAACCAATGTAAGAAACATGGCTGATCAGTGTTTTACCTTTGTGGCTTAAACAAGTTAAAAGTTTATAGACTCAAGCTTATAAGTACCATATTTTAAAAGATTTTCTGATCTGGTAGTGATAATATTTAATTTGCTTTTTCTAGACTAGAGACAGTATATTCTCATGAAAAGTTTGGCTTCTGAGGGAGTCAGACTTGGGTTTCAGTCTTCACTCTGATGTTTAATAGCTCTGTGACCTCAGGCAAGTGAAAAATGGGGATAACCCTTAGATAAGGGCAATGAGCGTAAACAAAACTAAGATAGTGTTAACTTCCAGTTAAGTGTGTTTTTGTTTTTGTTTTGTTTTAAATCACACTAAGAAATCCTAGGTCTTTTTGACCTTTTCCTCATGGTTATTATGCTTGAATAAAAAGTGTCTTTTCTGAATCTGTAGGATTAACTCATAGTTTAAATAAGTGTCTCTTGTGGACTCTGCCAGTCATAAAAACACAAACTCCCAGCAACGTGGGCCTCCTTCAAGCTTTCCTTTGGACAATTCTTGGGCTGGCAGGTTAGCTTAGTGGATTAGAGTGTGGTGTTGTAACACCAAAGTAAAGGGTTTTGGTCCCCAAAGTGGCCCTCCATCACACACACAAAAAAATTGCTTGCACTGTACTGACCTCTGCTTCCTTTTTGGCCAGGGTGAGGACCCTTTCACCAATGAAACTGTTGATCCAGAAATGGAAGGTGATGACAATTTAGAAGGTGAGGATAAGGAGGAGACACCTGAGGAAGTGGCTGCAGAAGTCTTAGCCAAGGTGATCACAGCAGCGGTGAGGGCAGTCGATGGGGAAGCAGTGCCCGCTGGAGAGGGCGACAGAGTGCCGGCGCAAGGGGAAGGCCCTGTGGCTGTGGCGGAGGCCGGTAGTGATCCCCATACCAAACAGCCACCAGAAGAGGAGATGCCCTGTGGAACAGCATCTGATAAAGGGGATACCGAGGCCAGAAATGAGGTGGAGACACTGGCAGCAGAGGCAGAAAGCCCCATAGCCGTAGCTGCCCCTTCCCCAGCTGCCCCAGAGGCCAAAGTTGAACAGACGGGTGAAGAGTCCAAAGATGATAGCCCCATGGAATGATCCTCGCTTCCCTGTTCCAGGGACATGCTGCGTAATCCACTGCTCTTTCTTCTTTGGTTTGTAAGCAGTACTAGGGTATGTGTTCCTGGAATGTACTCTAAACTAGTTTAGGTGAAGAGGCTTGGCCATTTTCTTCTGAGCAGTGCACCTCATGGGCTTGACATACACAGGTGCGTGGCCTCCCATCTTGGCTTGAAGGCTGCAGGAGTTGTACATTCCCCCATGACTGTAACATCTCTCTTCACACTGCAGTTGGAATAATAAGAGTTGGGTGATTGGATCTTGATGATACTTTGCTTGTTAAATACAGCCTCTGGCTGAATAGATCTTTCTTTTAATTTCTATTTTTGGTTAGGAGCAGCTCAACACTAGGAATATATCTTGCTTTGTAAAGGATTTTTAAATTTATTTTTTAGTTTTAAGCATTTGCTTTGCCTTCTGTTTTTGTCCTCTGCTTTGTAGCACACTGTATGGTGTGTGATACTCACAAGATGTGGTAGCATCTTGTAACCAATATGACACTGGTTATTCACATCAGTGAACTCTCTCAAATCTGACAAACCTGTGTCACTGGAGGCATGTCCACTTTGACCCTCAAGAACGAGGAAACATGGCCTAGGACATTGTTTCCCAATCTTCAGTCCTTGGTGAATCACTTTATGATATTTTACCTCATTTGTATTCCACTTCCACATTACTTCAGGTTTGTTTTTTGTTTTTGTTTTTTTATTCTTTAAATTGGCTTATTCCTACTTAATGTATTTAAAAAGAACATTTGATGTTGCTCCCATAGAAGGAAAGCAAATACAAATTGCCATAGATAGAAGCTATCTGTGAAAAGTAAATATAATTAAATAAACATGTTTCATCTTAGATAAACACTGTTCCTTTGGAGGTGTCTGATCTGTGAGAAGGGAGGCTAGCATGTGTTAAAGAGTAGCACCCAACAGTTACACTCTCATACAGGCAGAATTGGAAGGTCCTTCCCTTTTAAAATAATATTGTTGTCTTTTTCCCTATAAACCTTTTAGCCGTATACATCTCACATTTTGGGAAACGTTGGCCAGTGGGAAATTATTAGAAAAGAGGAAATTATTAAAATATTTGATGAGCATCAACTGTATACCAGGTGCTAATTCATGATAAAAATTCTAAAATACGGACACTGCTCTCAAGGAGCCTTACTGGAAATGCAAGATGAATATTTATGAGAGTCAATATTAGAACTAAAAATTGAAATAAACTGCTTGGTAGGCAAGAAATTGGTGCCTTTGAATCATTTCTGATCCTCATTCCTGAGTGCTGTGTATGTGTGGCTTAATCGCAGGTTGAGCGGGCCTTTTGGGGGGGGGATCAAGGGGCCGATATCCAGAACTGAACCCTTGACCTTGGTGTTACAAGGCTGTGTTCTAACCAATTGAGCCAACCAGCCAGTCACTGTATGCCTGTTGAAGCCTGTTCTCTCAAGGCAAAAGCATTGGTAGCTTTGAACATCAGTATGTGAAAGGTGACAGGACTGCACAACTGCTTTGTTTTTTTTTTGTAAAAATAATTCGAGGCCTGTCATTAGATCTCTCTAATTTTCAGTGGGGCTCTTTCACCCTCGACCCAGTGTGACACTACGTGAATCATTCTATCCCTACACTCGGGTTTAAACGAGGCCCTCATTGCCCAGGATGGCGAGTAACTTTGGATTGCACGAATAGGATGCCCTTATGTTTCCTGAAATGACAGGAGTAAATTTCAAACTTCCTCATTTAACGGAGAGAACTAATATTTAGCTTCCCTATTTGCAGAGGAGAAACCTGGGGGGAGTTGAAGTAATTTTCAGGGTCACACTTCAGAGACGTGGGGATACCTAAATTAATACACAAGTCTGAGACACCAGTGGCCATGAACTTTCCATAGAGCACCTTTATTAAAACCCAACTTTAAGAATTATGGGAAAACTTACTCTTTTTTATGAAATAATGCATTGCCCGATTCTAGAATTGTAATAAAGCCAACTTAGATCTTAAGAAAAAAAAAGGAATTTGATGATTTCTTGTATTCCTAAGCAAAAGATCATAGGAATGGCAGTCTGATTTCAACTCTAGGTTAGTCATATCACAGACCTGTGTGACTTTGTGGGATTTTTTAATGAGACTAGTACAGCTGCTAAAGGAAAAACAAAGATGATTTAATGACTCATGTTTAATTCCAAAGTCGAAAAAAAAATATAATGAACAAACTTCATTCAAGTACACATAATCGTTAGTATTACTAAGTCCTCTGCAGTTTGATTTTGGTTCCTAAAGAGATAATTTTCATTGCTTGATGACCCAGCTAGAGTGGTCCTTGCTCACTAAAAGTGTGGCCAGTGGTAATTAGAGTAGCACAGTAGGGCCGGCCCATGGCTCACTCGGGAGAGTGTGGTGCTGATAACACCAAGGCCATGGGTTCGGATCCCTATATAGGGATGGCCGGTTAGCTCCCTTGGGAGAGCATGGTGCTGACAACACCAAGTCAAGGGTTAAGATCCCCTTGCCCGTCATCTTTTAAAAAAAAAAAAAAAGAAAAAAGAATAGCACAGTAAACAGCCACTGCAGTACATTGAGCTCCATAGAGGCAGTACCAGGGCAAGTGAGAACGGACAGTCATTGGGCAGCTCTGCCTCCCCAAGGCAAAATAACTAAATATGGGTAAAGGGGAAAGACTGTAAGAAGCCAAGAGGCAAAATGTATGCATTCTTTATGCAAACTTGCCTGGAGGAGCACAGAAAGAAGCACCCAGACGCTTCAGTCCATTTCTTAGAGTTTTAAGAAATGCTCCGAGAAGGGGAAGACCATGTTTGCTAAACAAAGGAGAATGTGAAGTCATGGCAAAGGTGTTGAAGGCATGTTAGGGAAGAGAAATGAAAACCTATATCTCTCCTAAAGGAGAAACAAAAAGAAGTATAAGAGGGGCTGGCGATTTAACTCACTTGGTCAGAGCACAGTGTTGTAACACCAAGGTCAAGGGTTCAGATCCCCATACCAGCCGGCTGCCAGAAAAAAAATTTCAAAGATTCTGATGCACCCAACAAGGCTTCTTTCAGCCTTTTTTGGTTCTGTTCTGAGTATCACCCCAAAATCAAAGGAGAATATCCCAGCTTTTTCATTGGTGATTTTGCAAAGAGACTGGGAGGGATGTGGAACAACACTGCTACAGATGCCAAACAGCCCCACAAAAAGGCTGCTAAGCTGAAGGAAAAATACAAAAGGATATTGCCGCATACCAAGCTAAAGGAAAGCCCAATGCAGCAAAAAAGGGAGTTGTCAAGACTGAAAAAAGCAAGAAAGAGATGGAAAAGGAGGAAGATGACGACGACGAATGGTTCTAGCACAGTTTTTCTCCTTTTCCATATAAAGCATTTCACCACAGTTTTTTCATCTTCGGTTGTCTCCAATGCAGTTTATAGGAAATAATTGTTCTGTTAACTGAATACCACTCTGTAGCTGAAAAAAACAAAACAAAACGTGGAGCTGTTTTGTTGACATTCTGGATGCTTCTAATAGAATTTTCTTTTCTTTTCTTTTCTTTTTTTTTTAAAAAAGATGACCGTAAGGGGATCTTAACCCTTGACTGGCGTTGTCAGCACCACGCTCACCCAGTGAGCTAACCGGCCATCCCTCTATGGGATCCGAACCCGTGGCCTTGGTGTTATCAGCATTGCACTCTCCCGAGTGAGCCACGGGCCGGCCCTAGAATTTTCTTAGAGAAAAAAATAGGGCTCCTGGTTAGTTCAGTTGGTTAGAGTGTGGTGTTATAACACCAAGATCAAGGATTTAGATCCCCATACAGGCCAGCTGCCAAAAAAAAAAAAAAAAATAGATTAACAGTAGAGTTCTAGGAGAGCCTTTCAGCATCTTTTTTACAGTAGCCTCCTGGAGGGCTCAATAAAAACATTAAGCATGGTGGGCCGGCCTGGTGGCGCACTGGTACAGTGCACCGCTTGGGAGCGCGGCGGCGCTCCTACCGAGGGTTCGGATCCCACATACAGACCGGCGCTCACTGGCTGAGCGAGGTGCGGGCGCAACACCGAGGGTTGCGATCCCGTTGCCGGTCCCAGCCCAGTATGGGCGCGACACTGAGGGTTGTGATCCGTTGCCGGTCACGAAAAAAGACAAAAAGGAAAAAAAAAAAGAAATGATTAGAACTCAGTTTGGGGAACAATATGGTGGGGTAGGGAGCAATCTATTCACCCTCAGAGTAAACGAGGTAACAAGATTTAAAGCACTTAGCACTACTGAAAAAGTGGCTTTCAACCTTTTTTTTTTTTTTTTTTAAGCTAAAATCCACATAACAAAACATGAACCATTTTGAAGAGAACAATTCAGCAGCATTTGGCGCATTAACATTGTTGTGGAACCATCCACCTATATCTAACTCCAAGACATTTTCCCTATAAGAAAAGGAAACCCCTTACATAAGAGCAGTCACTTCCTATTTTCCTCCCCTCAGCCCCTGACAACCACGAATCTGTCTCTGGATTATCGATTCTGGATATAGTCTGTCATGCAGCATAGTGTTTTTTGAGGTTCCTTCATATGGTAGCATGTATCAGAACATTTCTTTTTATGGCTGGATAATATTCCATTGTATGTATATACTACATTTTGTTTATCCACTCATCTGATTGATGAGGGTTGTTTCTACCTCTGAACTGTTGTGAATAGTGTTGCTAGGAACATTCATGAACAAGTATTTTTTTTCTTTAAAGATGACCGGTAAGGGGATCTTAACCCTTGACTTGGTGTTGTCAGCACCACGCTCAGCCAGTGTGCGAACCGGCCATCCCTATATGGGATCCGAACCCGGGGCCTTGGTGTTATCAGCACCGCACTCTCCCGAGTGAGCCACGGGCCGGCCCATGAACAAGTATTTGTTTGAATACTTGTTTTCGATTCTTTTGGGTATATACCTAGGAATGGAATTTCTGGATCATATGGTAATTCTGTGTTTAATTTTTTGAGGAACCACCAAACTTTTCCACAGCAGCTGCACCATTTTATGTTCTCAGCAATGTAAGAGGGTTCCAATTTCTCCCCATTCTTACCAACACTTATTTTTCATTTTTTTTTTTTTGACTCTTGATGCCTCAGTGGGTGCAAAGTGATCACATTTGCCTAATGACTAATGATGTTGAGCATCTCTTTATGTGGTCATAGGCCGTTTTTATATTTTTGTATATCTACTCAAGTTCTTTGCCCATTTTTAGATTGGATTGTCTTTTTGTAAGCTGTAGTTTTTTATATTCATATATCTTGGATACTAGACATTTATCAGATATATGATTTGCAAATATTTTCTCCCATTCTGTAGGTTATCTTTTCACTCCCTCGATAGTGAAAAAAAATTTTTGATGTGCAAATTTTTAAATTTTGATCAAGCTCAGTTAATTTTTCCTTTTGTTACATGTGCTTTTGGTGTCATATCGAAGAAACCATTGTCAAATAAATCCAAGGTCATGAAGTTTTACCTTGGTGTTTTCTTCAGAGTTTTACAGTCATAGCTCTTATATTAAAATGGTCTGTAATCCATCTTAATTTTTGTATATGGTGTGAAATAAAAGTCCAACTTTATTCTACTTGATGTGGCTTATTGTCCCAACATTATTTGTTGAAAAGACTATTCCTACCCCATTGAATGGTCGTGGCACCCTTGTGAGAAGTCAGTTGACCATAGCTATGTGGGTTTATTTTCAGACTCTCAGTTCTATTCCATTATTTATATACCTATCTTTATTCCAGTACCACACTGTAGCTTTGTAGTAAGATTTGAAATCAGGAAGTAAGTCCTCCAACTTTGTTCCTCTTTTTAAAGATTGTTTTGGTTATTCTGTGTCCCTTGAGTTTCCATATGAATTTTGGGGTCAGCTTGCCCATTTTCTACATAGAAGCCAGCTGGTATTGATAGAAATATCTGATGTAGAGTCTATGTATCAATTTGGAGAATGTTGCCATCTTTACAATATCAAGTCTTCCAATTTATGAAGGCAGATATCTTTCCATTTATTTAGGTCATCTTTAATTTCCTTAAGCAGTGTTTTGTAGTTTTTAGTGTATAACTTTTGTACTTTTTTGTTAAATTTATTTGTAGGTATTTTATTCTTTTGATGCTATTGTAAAAAATGTAATTGTTTTGTTAATTTCGCTTTTTGGATGTTCATTGCTAGCATATAGAAATACAACGGATTTTTGTGTATTGATCTTGTATCCTGCAATTTTGTTTTTATTAGCTTTAATGGTTTTTCTTTTTTTTTCTTTTCTTTTGTGGATTCTTTAGGATTTCTTATCTATAAGATCATGTCATTTGTCAGTAGAGATAGTTTTACTTTTTTCCAATCTGGATGCTTTTTATATCTTTTTCTTGCCTGATTGCTTTGGCTAGAATTTCTAGTACTATGTTGGCATCCTTGTAACTTTTTTTTTTTTTTGGTGGCTGGCTGGTAAGGGGATACAAACCCTTGTTATTTGCACCATGCTCTAACCAACAGAGCTAACTGGACAGCCCTCTTTTAAACATTTATTTGGGCCGGCCCGGTGGCGCACTGGATGGTGCACCGCTTGGGAAGCGCGGCGGCGCGCGCCACCCGAGGGTTCGGATCCCACATACAGACCGGCTCCCGCTCACTGGCTGAGCGAGGCGCGGGAGCAATACCGAGGTTTGCAATCCCGTTGCCGGTCCCTGGTCCGGTACGGGGGCAACACTGAGGGTTGCAATCCGTTGCCGGACACGGAAAAAAGACAAAAAAAAAAAAAAAAACACATTTATTTAGATCCTCAGTAATCTTTCTCCTGACTGTGAATTCCATTAAGTTGATGTGGAAGACCATTTGTTCCTGCAAATACTATAATTCCAGTCAACTCATTTAAGCTAGATGCTTTGAATAAAGAACATAAAGTGTATAACATCTTCTTTGGGGTCTAAGTTTATGAGTCACAGGTGAACAAATTGGGTATGTTAGTGTGTGCAGGGCTTAGACGTTGTGGTACACACATTGTCATCTCTTGGCTCAGTAACTTGCCCATCCATAGCTACCTACTCAAGAAAAATCCTGAACCTGTCCTATGGGAAATGCCTGGGGATTTTAGCTTCTCAGATGCCTACAAAGATTTGGGAACATTTCTCTAATACACAGTTCAGAAATGCATGCTAATTTGCCTTATTTGCTGCCAGGAAATTGCCTTTGAAAGAAATGCTATGTACTTCCTGTCATCTTTAGAGCTAACCATGGGCCAATGACCAACTTCAGGGTAAGAGAATGTGTGAATATGAGAATTCTCAACTACAGTTGTCCCCAAAAGGAAAGCTGTATGCTCCTTAAAGAAACATAAGTCCCTAATTCCTCCCCATTGGAGGACAATGGCAATGACAATAATGATCATTTCAAATAAACTAAGACCACAACAGTTCTTTTTTTTTTTTTTTAAAGGTGACTGGTAAGGGGATCTCAACCCTTGGCTTGGTGTTGTCAGCACCACGCTCAGCCAGTGAGCGAACCGGCCATCCCTATAATAGGGATCTGAACCCATGGCCTTGGTGTTATCAGCACCGCACTCTACCGAGTGAGCCACGGGCCAGCCCTTAGACCACAACAGCTCTCCCCAGTGTTTGAAGTACAGAGGGGAGGATTGGTTCCAAGATCACCATGGATACCAAAATCACAAATGCTTAAGTCCTTTATATAAAATTGCATAGTGGGCCGGCCTGTGGTTCACTCGGGAGAGGGTGGTGCTGATAACATCAAGGCCCCGGGTTCGGATCCCATATAGGGATGGCCGGTTAGCTCACTGGGTGAGCGTGGTGCTGACAACACAAGTCAAGGGTTAAGGTCCCCTTACTGGTCATCTTTTAAAAAATAAATAAATAAAATTGCATGGTATTTGCATATAACTTATGTACATCTGGGGCTGGCCAGTTAGCTGAGTTGTTTAGAGCATAGCCTTATAACACCAAGGTCACGGGTTCTGATCCTCTTATTGGGCAGCTGCCAAAAAAGTAAAAACAACCTATGCACATCCTCCCATGTACAGTACTTTAAATCATCTCTAGATTACTTATAATACCTATTACAATGTAAATAGTTGTTATACTGTATTGTTTTTTATTTGTATTATTTATTTTTTTTTTTTCTCCCTGAATATTTTCAATTTGTGGTTGGTTGAATCTGCAGATGCAGAACCACAGATATGGGGAACTGACTGTACAGTTTGTCTAGCTCAACAACGGCAAAGCCAGAGGAAGCTAAAATGAGAAGGAAAAATTTGCTTGTCACTGTTCTTCAACTCCACTAAGGCTGAAATATGTCTTCAGTAGGGAAAGGGGCTACTTGGTCCCAGGATGTAAGTTGTTAGTTTTGTATTGCTGTTTAACAAACTGTTCCAAAAGTCAGTGGCTAGGGCTAGCCAGTTAGCTCAGTTGGTTAGAGAATGATATTAAAACACCATGGTCAAGGGTCTAGATCCCCATACTGGCCAGCAACCAAAAAACAAAAACAAAACCCAAAGTTAGTGGCTTAAAATAACACACATTTATTATATCATAATTTCTGTGAGTAAAGAATCCAGGTGCAGTTTAGCTGGGTCCTTAGTTCAAATTACAAGGCTGCAATCACAGTGTTGGTCGAGGCTGTGGTCTCATCCAAAGGCTCAGCGTGAAACGACTGCTCATGTGGCTGTTGGCAGAGCTAAGTTCCTTGCACCTGTTGGACAGAGGGCTTCAGGTCCTTGCTGGCTGTTAGCAAGAGTCACCCACAATTCTTTGCCACGTGGGCCTCTCCTATGTGACAGCTTAATTCATCAAGACATGCAAGCTGAGAAGACAAAAGAGTCCAGCTAGATGCATGTCTTTTGTAGTCTAATCATGAAAGCAACATCTCATCGCTTTTGCCATTTTCTGTTCACAAGAAGCAAATGACTACGTGTAGCCCACGCTCAAGAGGAGATCACACAGGGTGTGAATACCAGGAGGTAGGGATCACTGGGAGCCACCCTTGAAAGCTGCCTACCATACAATACTTGCATAAATCTAGACATATGTGCCCTTCTTATAAACATGTTAGACCCCAAGAGCTTGCTTCGTCAGCTCATTTGTCTAGAAAGATGAAAGGGACAGAAGAGACTTAAGGCTTCAGTCCTGATATGAACTTACACCAGTGGAGGTGTGGGGTTTATTCCTACAAAACTTTATGTATCAGGCCTACTCATGGGTTCCTTGCTGAAATGTTAGCAGGCATCTTTCCCCAAAATAGGCTGGTTTTGACTACAGTGAAAATCTGCCAAGGCAAGAAATGCTTCTCTGTTCAGCAAATACCACAATTTTTTAGCAGCCAAAGCAAGTAGCTACACTTACTGAATCAACCATCCACCAAAAAATAATAACAATAAAATAAAAAATAATAAAGCAGCCTCATTTTGCCCATTACCACTCATTCTGATGCTGTGAAGATCCCACAAGGCCTTGAACCTATGGGACCACCAGTGGTTTGTGACCAAAATTTTATCAGCAGTGTTTTTCACCATTCTGTTTCTAAGCTTTCAAATCGCCAGCCTTAAACTAGAAAATGTCTTGAAATGCTGCTCATTTCCTGTCCATACAAGCAGTCTTCGAAAAGTTTGTGAAGAGGGGGACTGCTGCCTGGTTAGCTCCATTGGTTGGAGCACAGCCTTATCACACCAAGGTCAAGGGTTTGGATCCCCCATAACTGGCCAGCCACCAAAAAAAAAAAGTTCATGGAAAGATTTGTACCTTTTTTTTTTTTTGGCAGCTGGCTATTCCTGGGATCAGAACCCTTGACCTTGGTGTTGTAACACTGTGCTCTAACCAACTGAGCTAACCGGCCAGCCCTTGTATTATCGTTTAATTGTTTTTCCACGAACGTGTTGAAGTACCCTCATACATCCAAAAGTATGTCCATTTCAACTTTTCCTATTCTCTTCTCTTGCACTTTCCCTCATATGATTCATTCCTTTTTATCCTTTAAAAATTCTTGAAATGTCACACAACAAATATGCATAAGACATTGGTACAGTAGAATGAATAACTACAAAGCTGATGCACAGTCGAGAAAACACAGGAGCCGGCTGGTTTCTCAGTTGGTTAGAGCACAGTGCTGATAACATCAAGGTCAAGGGCTCAGATTCCAGGACCAGCCAGCCAGCAAAAAAAAACCCGACAAAAAACCACAAAAAACATTTGTCGAATGCATGCATGAATGAATTTTTTTTTTTAATAAACTTCTCATTCTTTTTAAAAATTTTATCAATTTCATTTATTTATTTGGTGGCTGGCACAGGGATCCGAACCCATGACCTTGGTGTTACAAGGTTCTGCTGTAACCAACTGAGCTAACCGACCAGCCCCGGCAAATATTATTTTCTAAAAAAGAAAGAGGGGCTGACTGGTTGGCTCACTTGGTTAGAGCACAGCCTTGTAACACCAAGGTCATGGGTTCAGATCCCTGTACTGGCCAGCTGCCAAAAAACCCAAAATACTTTTCAGTCATGCAAGATGAAAAAGTTCTAGAGATCTGCTGTACAACATTATGCTTCTAAGGAACAATACTGTAGTGTACACTTGAAAATCTGCTACAAGAGTAGGTTTCAAGTTATGTGTTTTTTACCACAATTAAAAAAAAAAAAGAAACAATTAACAGAGTTAAAAGACAACCAACAGAGTGGAAGAAAATATTTGCAAAATATACATCTGA